GAGGAATTTAAGAAGCCAGGAAAGGAATTTAACAGCAATTAACAGTGTTGCCATGAGTCAAAATTGACTTGATGGCACACAACAATGGCTAATGTTGAGTAGTTGTCTGCAGAATTTATGTTATATCCAAGCATTGAACTAAGTGATAAAACTGTACAGATAAGTCACACTCTCTATACCCAATGATCCCACAGTCTAGGGAGCACTCATGTGCCATGAAGAATCCAGGAAGATGCAGATACTGGACCTACCTTTATCAACATTTATTCATAACTTATTATAACAATATTTTAGGGAAAATTGTCATGATAAAGTGATGCTTTAAATTTAGTAATGACAGAAATTCCCAGAAAACATCCATAAAATGCAGTTTTTCTGATTGATGCCATCTATTCAGGACAGAATTCTAATTATAGTTCATTCATATTCCATTTTTTGTATTTTGTCTTGTTTTCATTTTTATTGGGGTGAAATATATATAACAAAACACTTGCCATATCAACCTTCCATGTGTACAAGTCAGTAGCATTAATTACATTGACCATGCTGTGCAACCATCACCAATATATCCATTTATTAAAGTATATATTCCTCTTTCTCTGTGTGTGTGTGCATGTATATATGTATGCATGTATATATATATTCACATAATACATGTATGTATATATATGTGAGTATAATACATATGTGTGTGTGTGTGTGTGTATATATATATATTTATTTATATACACATGGAGTTCTGGTGGCATTGTGCTTAAGGCATTTGCTAATCAGAAGATTGGTGGTCTGAACCCACTAGGCACTCCACAGAAGGAAGATGGGGCGATCTGTTTCCATAAAGATTTACCATCTTGGAAACCCAATAGGGGTTGCTATGAGTTGGAATTGACTCGATGGCAGTGAATTTGGTCTTGGTTCATATATATGAGTGTGTGTGTGTGTGTGTGTGTACACACACATATATAAGTTCTGGTGGCACAGTGCCTAAGGCACTTGACTGCTAATCAGAAGGCTGGCTAACCACCAGCCACTCCTTGGAAGGAAGATTGGGCAATCTACTTCCATAGTGATCCCGTCTCGCAAACCCATGGAGGGGTCACTATCAGTCGTATCTGACTCGATGGCAGTGAGTTTGGTATATATATATATTAATGTTATATTCAAGCATTGAACTAAGTGATAAAACTGTACAGATAAGTCATACGCTCTATACCCAATAAGCTTCTCATCTAATGAAGAGTGATAACACATAAACATATAATAACGCTGGAGTGTGATATATGCAATAATAGAACTATCTGTAAGGTATTTTTGTGGATGTGGTCTTAAAGAAGAAATGGTTAACTTTTTCCAAGGAAAACCAAGCCAAACTCACTGCCATTGAGTCGGAGCCAACTCATAGCAACCCCTCCTTGGGTTTCTGAGGCAATATCACTATGGAAGTAGATTGTCCCATCTTCCTTCCAAGGAGTGTCTGGTGGGTTTGAACCGCCAGCCTTCTGTTAGCAGTCAAGAGCCTTAGGCACTGAGCCACCAGGGAGGGGATCATGGAAAGCTTTACAGATGATGCTTCAGAGCAGAGTTCTGAAGAATGGTTTGAGTTTGCCATGTGGACAAGTAGTCCATCTGGTGATTGTCCACAAGAACAATTTGATTAACCAGAATACTCCATTCCCTTATGGTTTCAATTCTCAGGTCATCTGGATCTTCAGTTCTTCAAAGTTATCATTTTCCTGGTAAGCAAGGGGGAATTCTTTTCTGTAGCTATAAATCCTTTTAAAGCTAGAATAATCACAGATTTGTACAGATATGGTCTTGCCCCATCACAGGTAAGATACAAATTCAAAATCCTCTCAATATAGTATTTATCAACTTTTATTTATGCTCTGTATCTAAAACAGCAGGTCTATTACATAAGGGATAACGTAAGACAACAAAAACCCTGATGTGCTGTGGATATCCAATATTATTTGGTTGAAGGAAGAAAGAAAATCAAACCAATAAACCCTAAGTGAAGAGGTGCTTTGATGGTTTATCCAACTCCAATTTTAACACAAATGGCCCTTAAGTGAACTGCAAGATGAGAAACTTACCTTTCATGACCTCAGTGGCACAAAGTCTGAGAAAGAAACTCAACTAACCAACATGGAAGATACACACGCGATACTTTAGGAATGACAAGACTCCTGAAGGGTTTTAACCACCCACCGCAATACACACTGGCTATCTTTGGCCCAGACCAGAATGAATGCACAAAGGACAAACTATTTACTTTTCACAACCTGACTGCCAAGGTAAGGGTAACTTAAGTTTTATTTTTCCCCCCTGTCAAGGTTAGAAACACTACCTTTATTTTCAAAAGTTCTTGTAAGAACAGGTGTGCAAAAAGTTTTGAAGTGCTCGGCCTTTCTCTTCACTATTTGCAAAGTAAACAGAACCTGGATTCCAGATACTTTAGTAACTCACAAGTGTTTGACACAAATCCCAGGGCTGTGACAAGGATGTCCAAATGGATTTGCTTGGGGGAGTCACAGAAAGTATTACAATTTAGAAGGATTCACAAATCTACAAGACAAGAAAGAAGATAATAACCCATTGCTGTCAAGTAGATCCAACTCATAGCAACCCTACAGGACAGTGTAGAACCCTCCCACAGGATTTCCAATATTGCATATCTTTACAGAAGCTTTGCCACATCCCTTTCCTGAGAAGAGGCTGGTGGGTTCGAACCACTGACCTTTTGGTTAGTAGCCAGGTACTCTAACCACTATGCTACCAGGGCTGCTAGCAGACAAGTGCTACAGAAATACTACAGGACTTCAGGAGAATGTAGAAGGAGAAGCTTGAGAAAATAAATATAGCCTCAACAGGTAGAAATGGGAGGCGTGTCATTCCCATATCATCACCTGAGATGCTTTTTAAAATGCCAGTTCCTGAGCCCCCTGAATTTAACAATCTCCCTTGGGGATGCTGACGTCCACTAAGGTTTGAAAGTCACTGAGATTGAGACCAGACAGATTTTGGGTGGCAGCTGGTCTTTAGGTAAAACCATCTCATTTCGCATATAATCATAAATACATTTCTATGTTAATATTACAGTGAACAATTTCACATTTTCACACAGCATCACAGATTCTCCTTCTAGGTGTGGCTGGCATCTGTCTCTCTCCAAATCACACAGCACCTTCCTATAGAATTGCAAACCCATAATCCCTGATAGGAATGAAATACCCAGTCAGCAAGGTAAGCACTACAGATTAGTAAGTAAGCACAAGTAAACCTATGCTTACCTTGCTGACTGGTAATCCACCCCTGGTTAATAAATACACTTCTACTACATCTTTTTAAATGTCTGCTTGATATTTTATTATCCATTCAATTATCATCCATTCAATTGTCTATTGTTAGGTGTTCAACAATAAGTAATTTTATGTCTATTATAGCATGCCATTAAAATATGTATAGAATTTATAATATAAAAATATTTTATAATAAGAAAAATGTTAGAATGCAAAGTTATATGACTACAACCATGTAAAACATACTATTCATTTTAAAAACAAAACAAACGAAAAC